CAATACTTTGCCTTGGACTCTGATTTACTTTTGGATGCTATTTGGAACCCTGACAGATAGTTTTCAGTCACCTCTAGTTTGAGGTGGACGGCTACACAAATTTAATAAACAAACACTAGAACTCAAAAATACCAATGTAATCTTATTCCTTGGGGCAGCAGAAACTAAAGCTTTGGCTCTCCCCATGTTTACAGCAGCAGATCACACTGACTAGGTGATTGTCGGCAAACCTTTTCGGCACCAAGTGCCGAAACGGGAGCGCACGTGGGGAGTGCCGGAAACCAGACAGCAGCTCCTCGGCGCACACATGTGGGAATGCCGGAAACAAGAAGAACAGTTCCCCAGTCACCTGGTCTTCCGGTTTCTGGTGTGCATACACACTCGAAGGCCAGCTGACCAGCAAGCATGCACGCGCCGGAAACAAGAAGCTCAGCTTCCCGGTGTGCGCATACACGCCAGGGAGCTGCTCTTCCGGTTTCCGGCGCTCCCACACACACGGACCTGCATGGAACCCAGAAGAGCAATGATGAACAGCTGGTGTGCCCTGAGAGATGGCTCTGCTTGCCACTTTCGGCACGCGTGCCATAGGTTTGCCATCATGGGTCATAGATGCTAATCTTAAAAGAAGCCACAATATATTTTAGTGTGATAGATGAAGCTTATCAACCGAAGGAATTTTCCTAAGCCAAATCCGACTTTCAACATGCTTTTCCTCTCTGAAAGTTTATTAACAAACAAAGTAAATTGCCCAAAATGTTCTAAAACATTCATTCACTCCCCAAACATGCTTCTGGGTGAACCCAAAGGGCCGAGCTTCATTCCCATAAAATTCCTCAACTGGTGGTTGTTGTTGTTAGTTGCAAAGTCATGTCCAACCCATTGCAACCCCATGGACAACGTTGCTCCAGGCCTTCCTGTCCTCTAACATCCTATGGAGTCCATTTAAGCTCATACCGACTGCTTCGGTGACACCCTCCAGCCACCTCATTCTCTGTTGTCTCCTTCTTCTTTTGCCCTCAATCTTTCCCAGCATGAAGCTCTTCTCCAGTGAGTCTTTCCTCCCCAACTGATGAGAAGGAGCAAATCGGTTTTAAAACCAAAAATCTTAAGAACAGAGATCAGTACAGGTCTTTTAAGTTGCCTCTAGCCTAGACAGTCAACATCTGGACAGCAGCAGTTACACAGATGACACTTCCCTACATAACCAAGAGATGTAACCCCCCACTTTGAACAACAACTATGTTTTGAAAATTACCTCCTCTAGTTTAGCTGTTTTATCCATATTGCTATTACCTTTTGTACTGATAATTTTCAGGGGCTTTTTTGGAGGGAAGAACGGGTAATAACAGCACAAATCGATTCATTTTTACTTAGGTTGTTGAAGTTATTTTTCACTCATCCCCAGTAGCTCAAGGCAAAATTACAAACACTTAACAATAATTCAAATTCAATCTAACAAAACCATTTTTAAAAAAAAGAACACTAGGAAGAAAAACTCCAAAACTGCTTTCCCAGTTTGTATATAGAGGTAATAATGAAAGAAACAAACAAAAATTGAATCATTTTTTTGTATATATGAGTCCTATGTCTAGTAACAAAACACTACACCTCCTTGATCACAACAGTGGCAAACTATGGAGAAATCCTGGCATCATCAGAGGCGAAAATCACAAATTAAAAATACTGCACATCGTAAAGGCTTGTTTTCCTTTTAAAGATAGGGCAGATTTCACAAAAGATTGATAGTTGGGGTTGAAAACCAGTGGTTTTTGGTACAGTGGCTAACTTAGACTAAACCTATGAGAATCTTCGGTGCCGGTTAGCCTCCCACTCCATTAGAAATTCACTGGGTAACTTTCAGTTTCTCTCCTTCTCTCTCACCCAATATAGTATGGTGGACTAGGGGCAGGAAATCCTGGATCTAGTGTCCCTTAGTTCACAGAAGTTTCCCCGGAGACTTTGGGTCAGTCCCAAGAGTCAATGCGGTATACCGCTACAGGCGGTGATGTCAAACCTGAAGCTGACCTGACCGAAGCCGTCTTGGAAGCTTCAGTGTTGCCACACTGGAGCTGAGGGATAGGGAGGGGGGATTTGAGATAGCTGGGCTTTTGTAGCCAAAACAAAATACTTTCTCTTGGGAACCAAGGACATTCTCATAACTGGTCAGAGGAAGGAGGAGCGATGTCACCAGGCAACCAGACAGCGTTACGATTGGGCCATGTGACTGATTGTTTTGAGAAAGTGACAAACTTTTACTTTTAATTTGGTGGAAACTGCGGGAACATTGAGAGTCGGTTTTCACCAGATCTATGCCAATATGATATACTCAATAAAGCTATTCTTTGAGGAATCCATCTGCCTTAGAGTTTTGCTTGCTGTGGCTCTATTACTTGGAACCCTGAGAGGTGAACTATAGTACTCCTTGACTTTTAACCATTCATTTGGCAAACATTCAAAGTTCTAATAGCCCTGAAGAAAATGACAACCAGAATATGTATCCCCACAGTCACATGATCAAAATTTGAGTATTTACAATGGCTGCAGTCCCCCATACGATAGGTAAAAATGAGCACAACTCACTTAACACCTGCCTTACTTAGCAACAGAGATTCCACAATTATGACCCAATTATGTGGTCATAAATCAAGGACTACCTGTACAAGCAACACACTCCTTGTTCTAATCTAATCTTCAGCCGTTAAAGTTCATAAGGGACTGGCTTTGGATCAGTCCTTCTCTCTGAGTCCAACCTACCTCAAGGGGATCCTAGTATGAGGAAAAAATAAAGGGAAATCTCCACAGAATTACTTCAGTCTCTTGGAAGAAAT